GATAAACTTTAATCTTAATAATTGAGTTAATTCAAAATTCTAATTAATCTATCACAATTATTAATGAAAATATTTTATAAGTATTGTGAGGTCAAAGTATATGGCTACGACTGTATACTAATATTAACGTAGTGGGATTTTGGTAACTGTTCGATTGGTTTCAATCCGGAACACTTGCTTTTGTATATAAACTAAGGTTTTTGAGCTAATTAATATGCATATTTTCTGTATTCCTTTTTCATATTCCAAGCATTCACATTAGTGGAGATGAGAGGCACTTTTTATTGTCCTTGAGGAGTGCTTGAATTTGGGATTTTAGTTTAGATCTAGCTTTTGTCTAAATCGTCTAAATCGTCTAAATCTAGTTTTTTCCATTTCCTTTCTTTTGTTATTTCATTTTAGGATTTTGGTTTAGATCTAGCTTTTCTATTGTGTAGATCTCCCTTTCCTTTTAGTTTTTTCTCATTTCCCTTTTTTTATTCTTTCCTTTTCATTCATCTCTATAGCAAAGTAGTAGTTTCCTCCTCTGATTCTGGAGTAACAATTGGTGCAATTGCTTGATGCTATACGGTTGTAATTGAACAACCAAATTTAGTTGATGGCAGCATTCACGGCACATTGTACAACTCTTCTTGCTCTTGGTGCCAATCCTTGCATTAGGCCAAAGTTCTTTTGTGGGAATCCTAAGGATGATGTGTAATATTGATTCGATCACTTCATAGTGATTGCCACATATCATTCTTAGGGATGATACTTAATATTTGTGTGAGTTTCTCACGTGTCTCCAAAGGATAGTACTGTAGTGGTACAATGGTTTGAGTGCAGCCACTCATGGGGATTGGAGTGTTCTCCTAGACATCTTCAAACGCACATTTGAACATGCTGACAATTGTGATGATGCCTTCTAGCAATTGCATCGTCTTCGTCAAAGGCAATCTCAGTCGGTAATGCAATTTAGCATTCGTTTCTGAAACCTCTTGCTTCGTGTGGAGCTAAATATGTTGGAGCAAATCAAACTAAGAATGTTATTGCTAGCACTTCGTCAAGATCTTGTCGGACTTGTGCATGCACTTGCTCCAGCCACTCTTGACGATGCTCTTCACTTGGAACAACATTATGAAACATCGTCTCTTCCACTTCTTGCTACATATCCTTCCGTTCCACTTTCTGTGGGTGATGATTCTGTTCCAATGGAGGTTGACGCTACTGTTGCTCAAGTCCAAAGATAAGGGTGAGGTCATGGTCATGGCCGTGATGTTCACTATTAGGCATGTGATAAAGTTGGTCACATTTATCGGCGTTGTCAGCATTTTTTGGATTGGCAACCTCCATTTCCTGAATGGAGACCTTGGCATTAACAACGTCCTATTGGTGTTACTGCAATGGAAGGTCTGGATACCAAGATGCATCCAAGAAATGAGGAATCGCACAAGTAACGAAGGGACCTTGCACGAATAAATCAATGACTCTTTCATCTTTCTTTTGAAAGTATCATCAAGAGGTTCACTTGGCACCGGTTCATTCAGTATTTACTTTCCAAGCTTGTTTTTATAACAAAAGGTCTCCTATTATTCTCTCTGTATTAGTTGATATAGGTTTGAGTTTATCTTTTATTGCTTGACCTATTGCCACACGTTGCCATCTACACTTGTGTTATATGACCAAGAAGCTGTACAAGTTTTTCTATTGGTCGAAAATGCAATGTGATGTTATTCAGTATATGTGTAATTGTGTTTGGTGCCAACATTGTAATACTCCCTCTCGTGCCATGGAAGGATGGTTGGAGTCAATTATAATTTCTCGTCCATTTGAGTTGGTGGCATTTGATCTTATAGGACCTTTTCCACGATCGACTATTGGCAATGAATATGTTATCATTGTTTCTAACTATTGACTCGTTAGGTGGAAGTTAATGCTCTTGCTAGTGCTTCTGTAACTATTGTTGAATACTTCCTCCTCAATCGAGTGGTGTTCCAACATTTTTGTCTGGAGTGGATTCTTTCGGATAATAGTCCTGCATTTATGGCTAAGGCATTTTGTGTTTTGACAACTCGATTGGGAATACACTACACTTTCACAATTGCTTATCATTCACAATCAGACAGTTTAGTGGAACAGCTCGTTCAGACATTTAAAGGAATGATCACAAAGTACGTGAACTTTCAACATTCGAATTGAGATGGTTATTTGCTATTTTTTCAATATGCATATGTCACAAGGATGTAGAGTTCTATTGGTGCTTCATTATATAAACTTTTATATGGTTATGATCCAATATTACCAACGGAGCTAGGTTTACCTTCGCAATTGCCACTAGCTACCGATGCTAAGTCGTGGGATTAGTATTTGACGAGCATTCTTCTTCTTATCCGAGTAAAGTCTACCGAACACTTAGGTTGCATACAAGTGGGACAACAATAGTGTTATAACTCCCATCATCTTCCACTTACATGTTAGTCCATTTTCCCCATCTTACGGTACATGGTTTATCTAAGGGGCTCCTTGTTCAATGCAAAGGACCGTATCAGGTGTTGCGGCAAGTTGAATTGTAAGTTTATGAGGTTTAGCATAACATTCAACAAGCTGATCTTCTATAAATTGTGCATGTGCAGCAATTGAAACACTTCATACAAAAAGATCAGGAACAACTAATACCACTTATAGATCCATTAATGCCTTCTTTTAATGTTCCTCTAGATCCCAACCCATTTATAAGAGAATTCTAATGGTCTTCCATTATTTCAAGAAGAAAGAATGATGTGAAGTCCAAGTGTACAATTATGATGCCGTATACTAATATTAGCATAGTGGGATTTTGGTAACCATCAGATTAGTTTCAATCCGGACCACTTGCTCTTGTATATAAGCTAAGTTTTTTGGGCTAATTAATATGTACATTTTCTGTATTCCCTTTTCATATTCCAAGCACTCACAGTATAAATTTAAATATTTATTTTACAATTAAAAAATTAAATTACATCAAATTACATATTTTATTTATTCAATTAAAATTTATTTACATAATATACAGGTTACTAATTTGATCTAGATTATTTGATAGGACTTTAATATGGACTTAAGAAATGGAAATTCCCAAAAACCATTCTGTTTTCATAAGCCATTTCAAAATAATCGTTTAAATTTTCTTGTGAAAATTAAGATCAATCAAGAATCTTTCTTTGTCAATATTAAAAGAAAAAACCTTAATGTAAGTTGTCTAAATAAAATAATTATGTGAAGGACAGCCCTTCATGGAGGGGCTGATAATGGAAGGTAATACCCAAGGAGTGCTATTTAACATGAAATCTTCCAGGGGCAACAGGCTCAAGCTCCAATCTACTGAATGGTAGTTGCCAATATTATCTCAAATATTGCATTGTCCATATCATATGCACTGGCACATATATGACATATATATGTCATTTTCGTTCATAGGGGAGATTATATGGTGTTTTTTCCAGCATTTACCCCAGCAACCAAGAATTGCGAGGGTGGGATAAATGCTGGAAAAACCATGTAATCTCCCAGCAATTAGGACCTTCCACCAGATGAACTTGGAAGCCTTAACCAACAACTTTATTTGGCTCTCCAACCTTCTCTTGCAGCATTTTAAGATCCAAACTCTAGATTAAGGCCATGCTATTGATGGATCCTTGCCAGCCATGCCAGGGTCCTTCCATCTTCTTTGAACTTAGTTGGGACTTGGTTATGGAGACTTCATTGATGGTGATGTATGCCAACTGTGGGATCCTGATCAGGGCAGAGTTCATGTTTGATGGCATGAGCAGTAAAGACTAGGCCACCATGATCGAAGCTTAATTCTGGCACAGTGATGGGAGCCAGAATCACTGCTTTTGATGATCCTTGAGGTCGTCAAACCGTAAGCTATATTCTTCACAGCCTTTCTCAGCTCCTTGAGGGGAATGCCCACTCCATTCCTACTGCTCCTACTTCTTGGCTTGAGAAGATTTTGTTTCTGGATTGCTTCCACTGGGCTGGACGTCCGGGATTGGAAACACTCTCATGAGTCTCTTTGGGGCCTCTAGTACAATGTGGTGGCGGGCAGCCTTCTAAAGAGTGAGTTTGAGGACATTAAAGTTTTAGAACTCAATGCTGCAATCTAAGGAGAGGAACTGCAAAAGGAGATGCTAGAACACATCACTCTCCCAGCCAGCATTTGCCAGTGCCAACATTGCAAGCCATCCAGAGATGTAATTTATTTGCTAACATGGTTTGTGTAGGTATAAAAATTTTAGAGTTTAGAGTTTTGTTTTTTGGTTCCTAAAGCATATACCTGAATATATTCTACATTTTTGAAGATATTTAAAACATTTTTCCCAAATATAGACTCAACCACCTTAACAATCTTATAGCACTTAATAAACAGGAAAACACCCAAAGTTTTGCTTGGCGGATCTCTGCTGGAACGTGCAGAGAAATAATAGCAATGCTGTGAGGTGCCAAGAAACGAGAGCCCGAACGCATGCTTGAGCTTGAGCGATCATACACCTCTCTCTGGGCACAACAGCAGTACAGCAGAGAAACAGAAAAGCTGGTCGCTTTGGAAATTGAGCTCGAGACCACCGCAAGTGTTTTGAGCTAATTGGAAGATCGTAAGGCATTCCAAGGAATGGAAACATCTAAAATGGCGGTAGAAGAGTGTAATGGGCATAAATTTCTTGACAAGGACATAACATCTACAATCACAAAAGGAAAGGTGTGACCAAAAATGGGACCGCCTGGAACATGGAAGTCTTTAAATTCACCCACCAGTGCCAGTCCGTACCAAGGCTCTTCGTGTACGAATCGCACATAAGGTTGGAGAGGCAATAGCAACAATGGCAATGCTGTAATTTAAGCAAGGACATTTAACTATTGTTGTGGTCGTGATTCTTAGATTTGCGCAAACAATGACATGTTAACTATATGGTCCCGGACGGTCGAGATGCGAAGGCGCGATGCGGACACGTGGCGTGACCGTATTCGGCGCCCTGTTTAGAACAACTGTGGCTGTTTCTGGTGCCGGCTATGGAGGCCTAGGCTAGTTTCTCGCTGCCACATTGCGTTTTTTTGGCATTACCCCTCTCCTCTCGTCACGCGGCGGACTAGGGTTCCTGGGATCAGCGGTTCCAGGATTTGGATTCGATACATTATTACGGGATTTGCATCCAGGTTTTGGAGCTCCGATTTTAGGGCTTCTCAGGAGCTAGCGATGCGTTTCGGCAGCGCTTGGATCTGCGATATCTAGCTGGGAAAATGCAGGCTGTGGTGATCGTGCTGGGAAGGGGAAAAATTTTGAGCCTCGGGATCAAAACGAAACGCACATGAGATCACTGTGGAATTGTTGCTTTGGAGTGAAGGCGCCTTGTCTTTGCGTGATGGGTGCTACGGAAAGAAATGCTGGATCCACAACTCTCAGCTCAAGGCCCTTCGCAGGAGCTGCTTTAGCAGAGGCTTGGCTAGCCATTTAGTAGCTGCGGGTTCTGTTCATGGCTCGAGAGAGAAGGTACGCGGACAGAGGTGGCCCAGCTAGTGGAATGCATCTCTTCGACTTCAATGAAACTCTCTCGGGAAAGAGGCTACCCGATGACAGGAGGATCGCTCTCGGTAAGTAGATCGACTCGTGTTGGTAGCAAAAACTGTGATTTCTTTTTGTGTTTCTTTCAGATTACCAAATGGACAAGCTCTACAAGGGAAGAGATTCGCCGAAGTCGAGAGCCAAGCGCGAGGAGGGGGAAGTAAGTAGTAGCGTGGTGAAAGAAGTTCTGATTTTTTGGTTGTGGCTAAGTTGTTGTGTTTGCAGACAACTCGGACCAACTCTAGGACGCCTGACAAGAAGATGAACTTCGTGCATGGGGGAAGCGAGTATGTACTCAAGGCTCACAGCGGCAGGGATATGGACTTTCGGCCCCCAAACGTGGTCGCTCGGCTCATGGGTTTGGATACTCTCCCAAACGAATCAGTCCCGGCGAAGCAGGCCAAGAAGAAAGGGGGAGACCAAGTGACTCCAAAGCAGGCAGTGGAGAAACAGTCGAGAAGGCAAAACGAGTTTAAGCAGGCTCCTCCAGCAGCTACAGTGGTACTGCCGGTCCAGGAATCTTACTATGTGGAAGACAAGGCAAAGCTTAATCGTCCTCGGGGTTCGGACAACAAAAAGCGAGGGGCAGCAAGAGAGTTACCAGATGTGTTTGAGATAGAGGAGATGAAGCGGCAGCTAGCTCTCAAACAGATGCTTGTGCGGGAGAAGTTGAACGAAGCGACGCGTTTGCTAACTGGGGAGAAACTCTCAGACAAAAGGTGGCTTGCAGCAAATCAGCAGCTGAATCAATCCAAGGAGTTTTTAGACGCGATCGACTTCTTCCAGACCAACAGAGATGCTTTCCTGAAGTACGTTGAGGATCAGGACTCGGTTCTTGGTAAACATATCGAAAAAACTCCCGGAGTCGCACACAGAAACGTTGCTATTGACAGGCCAGTACCGGAGGGGCTCAGGAATCCCATTGTCAGGAAAGTTATCGAGGGTAGAAGAGAAGATGCACTCAAGAATTTCTCCAGGCATTCCAACTTGGTTGGAGCTGGCGAAGACATCATAAAGAATTTGGTCCCTGACAACCAAGCCCCGACGAGGATAGTTGTTCTCAAGCCGAGTCCGAACCGAAACGCGAGTCCTACCTCGGCCAGTTTTTCTCCAGGACCATATGCAAACAGCGTCCGGGACGAAACTATTCCTTCTAGGAGGGTAACAGAGGCTTGCGATGATATGAGGAGGATTGCGGATACTTCCAGGAATGAAGGCGCTGCCAATCCCAGGGAGATTGCCAAGGAAATCGCTCGTCAAGTCCGGGAAAGCGTGGTGCGAGACTTGGCGAGGAATGCTCTACAAGAACAGGGTGCTGGCAAGAGACTAAACGTGACACTTGATAACTCGGACGGTCCAAGACTCGGCGGTGGAAGTGAATTCTTGAAGGGTGACGGGGTAACAACGCCTACTGGGAGAACTAGTAGGAGACCAAAGCCTCAAGTTGAGGCTGTGGAGGATACAGGCTTCAAGGCTTCGCTTTCTTCAGTACAGAAAAAACCAAGTCGTCCGAGGCAGCAAGCTTCTGGGAGTTCTCCGCCAATGCCACGACCTGTGTCGAAGGGCATCGTTGTCTTGGTGCCTGACCAGTCCGTTAGCAGCCGGATAAGTAAAGTCTCGGAAGCACAGAACAGGGAGATAGTGTCTTCAAGTGGCATAAGCAAACAGATGGTAAGGAAGGATAGAATTCGAAAGAATCAACAAGTATTGCCCGAGACATCTCACAAGCTTGGCGATTCTTTCCGGAAAGCTAGAAGCCAGCCTTCTGAAGCTAGGAAAAACAACGTAGATCTCACTAACAGGGATTTTACAAATACTGTACAAGACGATGCGGGTGCTAAGGTAGGGGATTATAGTTTGGATAGTGAGGCAGTTCCCGGTAGTGACTTGCTGGGATATGGGGGAAGTTTTCTTCTGAAATCTTCTGGATTCGAGTCACAGGGGGAAAACGAGGCTTCTCTTGAGTGTAGCGATTCAAGGGACACGTTAGAGTCCGAGTATACAGCAGACATCGGTGTTTCGGAAGCAGTATCCCAGCCAGAGACAGATATTTCGAGATCGCCTTCGGCGTTTGTTTCGTCAAATGACAGCGTTCCCACAGTTTCTGCCAGTCCGTGCGAAGAAGAAACTGATTATAGCAAGCAGTCGGTTACTGAAACTTCACATTTGTCTTCGGAAGTTTCAAGCTGGCGTCACAAAGAGGAGGTTAGTCAACATACTATTTCTTGTCTTTTTTTTTTCTTTCTCGGATTGATGGCAAGGCCAGTTGCTGCAGGTTTCGCAAGAAGAGGAGGAGCTCGTTAAAGCCAGCCCGACGACAGACGTCGTCGAAGCTGTGGACGTTGATGAGGCATCCATAAGCAGCGACAACAGTGGACAACCAAGTCCAATATCCGTTTTGGAGTCCTCTTTTGAGGAGAGTCCTGGTCATGTTGACTTCGATACGATCAGCTCGGAACTGGAAGGTGAGTTCTCCTTTTCTGCTTGAACGCAAACAGAGACTTTGTTTCTGGCAGAGCTGCGAATTCATCTCCGTCGCTTGAAGTGGGATGACAACGATCAAGAAGATCTTGAGATTTCGGACGTGGTTGTGGACAAGGTTGTTGTGGAAGAGAAACAACACCCCGAGCTCGAGACAAGTGTAAGCTCGAACGACACTGGCCACCTCCAATGGCTGGAGCTGGAAAAGTGCAAGGAGGAGGACGGCCAGAAGGTCTACGTGAAGAACATCCTTCTCGCGTCAGGCTTGATCAAGAACAGTGGCAGCGACAGCTTTTTGGTGGAGCAGCACTCTCAGGCGCATGCTCTGGACCCGATGCTGTTCCAGCAGCTGGAAGGATTCTACAGGGCCCAAGCCGAGGACGTCTCCACAGCAGAGACGACGAAGATCTCGAGCATGAAACGGCGGCATCTCTTCGACATGGTGGACGAGATCTTGACACACAAGTTCGTGTGTGATCCGTGGCTTTCGACTGTCCGGACTGTTCCTGGCGGAGGACTCCTGGTGGCCGAGGTGTGGTCGACGCTCTCGGATTACGTCGTGTATCCCCAGGGTGAAGATTTACAGCACACGGTGGAGAATCTGATCGAGAAGTATTTGATGAAGGGTGATCGATGGATGGAGCTCCAAAATTTCGTGGAGGCGATAGGCGTGGAGGTGGAGGCCGAGCTTCTCAACGAGCTCTACGAGGAGTGCTTGGATTTATAGCGACAGTGTTACACACAGAGAGTTTGAATTTAAAATGGCAGCATATTCATGTGAATAATACACTCTGTTTTCTAGGGCTCTTGGCTACGCGGGTTTAGGGCTTTGTGATGCTGAGAAGCTTGTGCTCGAGGCGCGCGATCGCGGCGTGGGCTGTCAAGAGGTTTGTAGCTGCGCCGAGTGATTTGCTACCGAGAACCGGCGCTTGGATCGGGGAAGATGGGAGATTTGAGAGGAACTGCCTCGATAAGGTGGAGATCAACAAGGGATCGAGCTACATTCATGTGGATTCGCTGACCGGAGAGGGAATTTGGCTGCCCGGTCACGATGGCGACGAGATTGAGATCGAGGCGAGCAGCGTGAAGAAGAAGAGGAGAAAGAAGATGAACAAGCACAAGCACAAGAAGCTCCGACGGAGAAATCGCCATAGCAAGAAGAAGAAGTGATAAAAAACCTCTTTTTTCCTCTTTGAGAAAGCAAGCGCATTTTTGTTTAGGGCTTTTGCTCTCTTTGATGAGGGTTAGGGCTTGGGAAGTGGAGGCGCTGATCGGCGCAAGGGCAGGGCGGCTCGATCGATTGGTAGATTCATCTCCGCGAAGAAATGCCTCCGAAAGCCGCCGACAAGGGGTCCAAGGAGAAGCAGAAGGCCGATTTGGCGAAGAAGCAGAAGCTCGTGGAGGACAAGACATTTGGGCTCAAGAACAAGAACAAGAGTAAGAATGTCCAGAAGTATGTGGCGAGCCTCCAGCAATCCGTGCAGTCTCGTGTCAAGCGCGAGGAGGATCCCAAAGCTGCTCAGAAGGTCTGGATTTTGTTGGAACGTGGGTTTCCCTCTCTCACCGGGGATTTGTTTTGGGAAATTCGCAGAAAAAGAAGGAAGAGGAAACTCAGCGGGAGAAGGAGCTGAATGAGCTCTTCAAGGTTGCCATCAGCCAGCCGAAAGTTCCAGTTGGTGAGTGTCTGCAAGAAGCTTTTTTCCCCACGCTATTATACGTTAAAACCAGTAGCAGCTGTACTCGATTTCAGGTGTCGATCCAAAGTCAGTCGTTTGCGAGTTTTTCAGGAGGGGACAGTGCGCCAAGGGATTCAAGTGCAAGTACTCTCATGATCTCAATGTGGAGAGAAAGGGAGAGAAGATCGACCTCTACAGTGACCAGCGTGATAATGGTGAGTTGTCTTAGCCCGAGCTTTTCTATTCTGATATTCCTTTCCGTGCTCGTGAGCAGAGACCATGGAAGAATGGGACCAGGAGACGCTGGAGAAGGTTGTGGAATCCAAAGGGAACGAGTACATGAACAACAAACCAACCGAGATAGTATGTCTTTGGCTTTTGTTCTGGGATCTTGTAGTAACGTTGCAAACTTTCAGGTGTGCAAGTACTTCCTGGATGCCGTTGAGAAGAAGCAGTATGGCTGGTTCTGGGTGTGTCCCAATGGTGGTAAAGACTGCCATTACCGACATGCGTTGCCACCAGGGTACGTTCTGAAGTCTCAAATGAAGGCGTTGCTGGAGGAGGAAGCTGAGAAACTAAGCATTGAAGAGGAGATCGAAGAACAGGTACTCTTTGGATGAGCTTTTTACGTGCTAAGAGCTCTGTTTCCCTGTTGCAGCGAACAAAGGTTTCGACGACCACCCCTCTAAATGCTACGATCTTCAGCGAATGGAAGAAGAGAAAGGAGCAGGAAAGGGAAGCGATGTTGGCACAGAAGAGGGCTGAACGAGCGAAGAATGACAGAATGAGGTATGGTGTGGTTTCCACTTTTAGAGAGCTAATTCGTTTCTGTTGTTGCAGTGGAAGAGAACTCTTTGCCTCTGACGCAAGCTTGTTCGTCGACGATTTGGAAGCTTGCGACGAGTATGAGAGAGACGAAGAGGAACCCGGAAGTAGCTCCAAAGCTCAGGATTCGAAGGTAACTCCGGCTATGGGAGCTTGTAGATGTCTCAAAGTCTTTGTTTTTCATTGCAGGCAACTGATACCGCGGTAACTGCTGCTGCTGGATCGTCGTCAGCGTCTGCGGATCCAGCCGAGATTGACGAGGACGACGAAGCGATTCCAGACGTTGAGGACGATGATCTGGACGAGGACGAGCTCAACGAGTTGGAAGCTAGGCTAGCTAGTTCGGGCGTAGGTGGCGATACTTAGACAAAGTTCCCGAGATTCACGGTGGCTTTTATTAAACCCTCGGCGAAATGTTTGTTCTTCGTTCTTCCTGGCAATTGGAAAGCTTTTGAAAATTCCAGAGCATCAAAAGGTACAAACTAGAAAGATCACTGCTTATTCCGCCCAAGTTTAGATCAGTGATGACCACCTCCTCCCTATAGAATAGAAAATGTAAAGATTGTTTCAATGTAGCTTCGCTTACTCTGGGTTCCCATTTGTGACGAAATCCCTGAGCGAGAGAGAAAAGAGAGAGAGATCTCAGCGTCTAGAGGTGAAAATCTAGTCTCTAGAGAGCTTACCAGCAGCACATCGCCGTCTTCTTTGAATCGATAGAAGATCCAAAACCTGGGGAGGCAAAATAATTTTTTTCCCATAGATCGATCACACTAGAGAGACTCACCACATCACCGCACACATGTAGCGCCCCGTTAGAACTTGCCAGCGCTTAGGGCTTGGGCCATGGATGGGGATGTTCGTGGGAGGCTCCCATGGATACGGAGGGCCCGAGCTCGCCATAGCCAACGCACGGGGAAGAGAATCGAAACGCAGACCTATTTTGTCTAGCCGGTAGATTGGCTGGAATTGAGCCGGCGACCTCGTGTCGCTTAAGGACAGGGCGGCTGGAGTGTCTGTTTACACCGAGGCTTACGCCCAGATACCCTTACCCTTTGTGTACTCTCACACTCTCTCATACACGCACACACTCACACGCACACAGGGGCGTCACTCGGGCGCTACACTGGCACTGGCGCTTAGGGTTTCGATGCGCGGGGGCAGGGTCTAGGGGCAGCGCGGCATCGGCCAGCGGCATCGATGAGTGTGAGTGGTTTCGTCGCCTATGGCGCGCCAGCAGCTGTGATTCTAGCTCTAGGTTTGGTTTGTGGTGTGGCAGCAGTGGCGGCGGCGGCAGAGCTCGGCCAGCCGATTGCGAGAGGGGTTTCCGAGAAGCGATCAGTGGTGAATGCGGTGGGAATGGACTAGAGAGGGGATATGTGTACATGCTTGAGCTCGTTCTTCATGGGAAACTGCTGGAGTGGAACTAGCTTGGTTTCGTCACACGGCAACGCCAGGAATTCTGGTGAGTCTTCCCGAAATTCAAGCGCAAGCTCGGTTTGTTTCGTTTTACCTTTTTTCCTTTTTCCCTCTCTCTCGCTTAAAAGCTTTGTGACTTCGAGCAGGTCAAGTCGAGCCAGCCACAGAGCCTAGCCAGGCATCCGAGAAGGGGTCCTTGTCCGCCAATGGGTCAGTGAGTGACCCCTCCAATCCAGGTTCCACCGAAGTCAGGCAAGGGGCTCATCTTCGAATATTTAGCTTCACCGATCTGAGATCCGCCACGCGGAACTTCCGACCCGACAGTCTGCTGGGTGAAGGGGGATTTGGAAGTGTTTTCAAGGGATGGATAGATGAGAATGGGACAGGAGCTGTCAAGCCTGGAACAGGACTAGTTGTAGCGGTGAAGCAGCTCAATCCCGAGGGGTTGCAAGGACACAGAGAGTGGCTGGTAAGAACTTGGATGATATTTAACTCCAACAGGAAAAAAAAACAAATGTTCTTTTGCAGGCAGAGGTGAATTTTCTTGGGCAGCTCCATCACCCGAATCTCGTCCGGTTGATTGGCTACTGCGCCGAGGATGATCAGCGGCTCCTTGTTTACGAGTTCATGCCTCGCGGAAGCCTCGAGAATCATCTGTTTAGACGTAAGCTTGTCAGTTTTCTTTCGTGCTCATCCAACCAGTTCGTGATCTCTTTCTTGTAGGTGCCGCATTGCCGCTTCCGTGGGCCACCAGGATGAAGATCGCGCTCGGGGCTGCAAAGGGTCTAGCGTTTCTTCACGAGGGCGCTTCCAGGCCAGTTATTTATCGAGATTTCAAGACATCCAACATTCTTCTGGACCATGTACGTGTGCTGCCGCTGTGATAGGATTTTCCGGTTTAGTTTACACGACTTATTCTCCAGGAATACACTGCCAAACTGTCGGATTTCGGTTTGGCAAAGGATGGTCCGGAAGGTGACAAAACGCACGTTTCGACGCGCGTAATGGGGACTTATGGCTATGCAGCTCCAGAATACGTAATGACAGGTACTTTTTCTTCTCGTTCTTGCTCGAGTGAAGCTCTCTTTCGTTTCTTCAGTCGTTTCGACGATCTTGCGAGAGTGAGAGCTTGCGACTCATGCCTTTCCGGCTTTGCAGGTCACTTGACACCTAGGAGCGATGTATATAGCTTTGGCGTTGTTTTGCTGGAGATCCTGACGGGGCGACGATCCATGGACAAGAACCGGCCGAGCGGCGAGCACAACCTGGTGGAATGGGCCAGACCGTTCCTGAGCGAGAAGAGGAAGCTGTTCCGGCTCATCGACCCCCGCCTCGAGGGGCACTACTCGATCAAAGGCTTGCAGAAGGCGGCGATGCTGGCGCACCAGTGCATCAGCCGGGACCCCAAGAGCAGGCCGCTGATGAGCGAGGTGGTGGTGGCTCTGGAGCCGCTCCAGAACCCGAAAGACATGGGCAGCTCGTCCTACAACCATCACTCGAGCTCCGCCGCCGCAAACTTTAGATACCACCCGCAGTTCGTGCAGCAAAACGGGAGCCACCACCAGCACAGGAATGGCAACGGCAACGCGAGGGCGGCGCAGATAGCCACGTACCAGCAGCGATCCCCGCGGCCATCCTCGTATGGTAAATGAAAAAATGGAGAGGGCATGGAGCGATCCCAGCCAGCATTCTCGCGCTCTCCTTGTTTCTCTTTCATCTCTCGTCCAATATCTTCGCCTCTCTCGCTCGCTCTCTTCCTTCTTTCCCCGTGTTATGGGCCTCTCGACGTAATGTTGTACTTTATTGGAATGGAATGCTATCTAGGCTTTTAGGATGATATTTAGGGTTCGTGGGCCTTTTAGGGTTCTTGGGCTAATAAGTCACAAACGAGCAGGAGAGGGATTCCAAGCTCTGAGGTAGGCTAGCTCTAGAACCGAGAGATTTGTGACACGAATCAATGAGCAGGGCGAGCGCGCTCAACTACTGCGTGAACCAGGTCCGGCGGTATGACTACAAGAACTACCTGTGCTTGCTCCAGCTCCCGCGATCTGGTGGCCTCCGCGATGCCGCCTTCGCGCTGCGCGCATTCAACGTGGAGACGGCCACCGCCAAGGACACCGCCCGCGACCCCAGCCTCGCCACGCTGCGCCTCGCCTGGTGGAAGGACTCCATCGACAAGCTCTTCTCGCGCGCCGCGGCCACGCCCGAGCACCCGGTGCTCTCCATGCTGGATCATGTCAACCGCGAGCGCCGGCTGAGCAAGCACTGGTTCTCGCGGATCATCGACGCCAGGGTCGCCGACGCGGAGCTCTCGGCGCCGCCCAGGGACGTCGGGGAGATCGAGCGCTACGCCGAGAGCACCGCGTCGGCGCTGCTCTACCTCACGCTCGAGGCCGCCGGGGTGAGGAGCACCAAGGCGGATCACGCGGCCTCGCACACGGGCAAGGCCGCGGGGATCTCGCTGCTGCTCGAGGCCACCGCGCACCACAGCGCCAAGCGGGTTTGCTACATCCCGGTGGAGGTGGCGGTGAAGCACGGTGTGTCGCAGGAGGATTTGTATCGTGGGGTGCGCGGGGACGAGGGCGTTGCGCGCGCGGTGTTTGAGGTGGCGTCGGTGGCTCACGCGCATCTGGAGAAGGCTCGGGCGCTGGCCAAGGACGTGCCCAGGGAGGCCTCGCCGGTGATGCTGCCGGCGGTTGCCACGGACGAGTTTCTAGCGACGCTCATGAGGTCGGGCTTTGATCCGTTTGATCCCAGGTTGCGGCGGGGGGTTTGCGGGGTGTCGCCGCTGTGGATGTTGCTCAAGTTGAAGTGGCATTCGCTCAGGGGGTCCTATTGATTCTCTTTTTGCTCTTGGTTTTCGAGAAAACCTTATACTTTTCTCTACCGTGTGCTCTTGATCACCGAGCTTTGCTCCACTTTAAGAGTCGAAGTCCTTGGAACTGCGATCCTCATGTCCGCTGGTACCTTGTCGCCAACTCTGAGCTCCACAACGTTGCCAAGGACTAGCTCCCTGGCTGCCAAGTCGGGGATCCAGTGACCAGCGAAGAACTTTGGCGTGCTCTGGTTGCATCTCCTTGAGCACGTTCAGCACACACTCGGCATTGGTCTTTGCCATACAAACTGTGTTTAAATTTCGATTATAAGGGATTCAGTTGGTGCGTCGCTTGCTCATCAGAGCAACAGTAGCTGGTCATAAGATTCAATAGTTGAAGAAATGCTGCAAGAGAGGAAAAGAAAAAAAGCTTAGCGAGTTTCTCAAATAATTGTCAAGAAAAAACGAGAAGAAAACTAGGAAAAGGTTATCTAGTTGTCACAGGTGCGAATACTGAGAGTTTAGAAATCGCTTTTGTCATAAAGATAAACTTACTGACACCATTCCTGATTGCCTACATAGATATCTGAGAAATACCCACAAAATACAATAAATTTAAGTTACCTGAACGAGGGAATAACTAGTGGCATGATAGGAAATTTGTCCAGCGCCGGGAAATCTATCTTCTTCTAAATATGTGGTCCTATTCCCTTTTTCTTGAGGAGGAAAGAAACGTTCCAACGTTTCTTTGCGTCATTTGGGTGGGGACGCTGTCGATGATCTTCGCCGCGCGCGGCGGCGAAATAAAATCCCATATGGTGCGCGAGATCCTGCAAATCTCAGTCAGACTCAAAGGTAGACGTATCATCTTCCTGCACGAAGGACCAACAAATTGGGCTCGTCATCGTTGACGGAGTCAATGGATTTTGCTCTGTTGGACACGGAAATCTGGTCAGTCAAGGAATCCCAACTCTTTTGCTCTACTCTTCTTTTAACCTCTTCTCTCGAAATATCTTCAGTCGCTTGTCACAAAGGGAGAAAGAAAAGGGATTTATGATCTAAAAAAAAGGACAAAAGTATAATTATAATTGATAAAACCAAAATGTTTTATTGTCCAAAACTCTGGACAGGAAACTCATTAACAAAGTTTACCAAATAGCAAATTATTCACGATTGAAACTCCTTGGTTGACCCTTTGAGACTGGCAGCGCCATTCTTGTTGTCCACCTTGGTGTCCCCTGTGTTGTCACTGGTACTCTGCCTAATCCATGTAGTGTCATACTGGCGATGTAACTTACACCGGAAAGATCCCTTGTGGGTCGTGGGCGAACAAATACAAGCAGGCATCCTCTGACAAAAACCTTAAACAAGAATAGGGCTTCTTAATTTAATTCCAGGTATTTATTGACTACCATCTTTATAAAAATAGCCTGTTTCTAACGTAAACTCGGCCTTTGTCTCCCGACGTCGACGACTGCTGCGGCGGGCCGAGGCAATTGTACTGGATGCAAAATGTGCATGTCGTTGGCAGCGGGATGGTATGCCAGGTTGATGTTTGGGATGTAGTTGTGCTCCACAAACTCCTGCGGTACCACCCTGACCATTGCTGGGACGTGTTGCATGCCTCAGGGACCCCAGAACCTGGACCGGCCCCGAGAGCTGGTTCTGCTGGAGGAGGAGGTTGCCGTTCCGGAAGCTGAAAATCTCTGGTGAGCCTCAGGTCGAGAAGCGCCGGGCGGTGCAGGGTGGCCATCCCCTGGATTGTCCCAGTGAGGCAGTTCTTGGCCAGCAATAGATACTCCAGAGTTCCTGGCAGCGAAGGGATCGGCCCCGTGAAGCCGAGGTGGATGAGCGGGGCCAAGAAGAGTGGCAGCAGACCGGACATGGAGTTCAGCGTGTTGAGATTCCACAACAAGGTAATTGCTATATATTCAATAACTGGGTCCTGGAATTGGTTTGCGGAGTGTCGCCACTGTGGATGTTGCTCAAGTTGAAGTGGTATTCGCTCAGAGGGTAGCAAACGGTTTCCTCGAGGATGAACTTTTCGAAATACCTGGCCTCATGCCCTTTGGTCATATCAAACAACAGAGAAGCTGCAAACAGCTTTTACACACTTTCATTTCATATATGGCCTTGAGACAGTGTTGCTGATTGAGCTGTGCTTGCCAACATAGAGGAAGCTGATCCATATACATCAATGTCAGTCACTTCCATTACACAACGAGTGAAACAGTTGGTATGTTTGGATGAGGATCAAGACCTTGCAGTGTTACATATTCAAATATCACAACATTGGGCTGCCTTGGAGCATTCCCATCAATGATGGTAGATGTTCCTACTCTGAGATTTGTTTGGCAGCTTGATGCAACAACTATGCACTGTGCAAAGTTCCATGGATTGCTCTATATGTATTTGATATTGTAAGTACTAACTCTTATCTTCTAACAAAGTTCAAACGATGTGTATTACTGAATCCGATAAATGCAGCCTTGTCTCCTACTGTGAATGCATCAATGAAATATTAAGTTCAAAATCTAAATTACGTGATTACAAGCCTCTTAGCCTAAAGTCCAATTGTCTTTTCATGAATTATAAAAATTTCATCTCTAACCTAAATGTTGCATGACTTGTACTCGATGGGTTAAGTTAATGTATGTTATGAGCAGTCTTCTTCTTCTTGTCAAAGCTTGCAATCAACCCTGATTAGCCTTTGTTTTGTTGATTAGCCCTATGAAGAACAAGAGTTTAGACAAATCAACAAGTCCTTCAAATTTATGATTGGCTTACCAAATTATGTTGTAATGCTGATTTATTTACTCCTCCCTATTTCAAGCCACAAAACACATCAAATTGCTGGGAAAGAAAATGAATACCACACTGAAATAAAATTATTGAGAACTTCATTTATAAAAAGTTCCGTTTTATGAAATCTGTATCCTCTATGGTCCTTCATATGGAAAACTTTAGTAATGGTTGAAAATCATGGTCTCTTTCCTTTTTGAAGTATTTGCATCACACTTCTTGACACAGATTGGACAAAGAGTATCACATACCTAATGCAAATTGGACTAAGAGTACCTCTTTCAGCTTTTTTTTTTCCTACTGTTTTTTCCTTCATAAAGTTCAACACAAACTAGAGTATATAAATCTAGAATAACTATTTATATGTAGAGCATATTGAAAGAAAGTAGATCTCACTAGTCTAGAAGCTCAATTCCTTTATATATATATATATCTCCCACACTGGCAAATCATATAAAGCACTAATTGTTGGCATCCTTGGGGTTTGTTGTTGTTAAAGAGGAGAAGAAGCCCAATGAAGAAGGTTATGAAGTGGTAAGAAAGCACAATTTTCTTGTAACATTTTTGTTATTTATAAGCTTTTTCCATACACTTCAAGAATTACAATAGTAATAAAAATTAACATCCTAAGTGAATTTCTGTTAGTTTTCCTCTTGCTGGTATCAAAATACACTTATTAAAATTAACAAGGAAAAATAAAGGAATCTAGACATCCCAAAAAGTAATCATTTATAAGTAGGGATTAATAGTGCTATCGTACTTACATTTTCTACACACTTTTAAGAGACACAATGACCATGATACCACACACCCAAACTTCAACCACTGTGATTTGGTACATGTCAATGCAGACTGAGATCTTTGGAACAAGATCTTTTTGCACATGCAAGAAGTACATATGACCTTAGAAGATCATCTGGATCACTTCCAACCAGAATTTGGATATGTAAAAGGTCTTTGGCAAACTTTTCAACAGGGCACAATAAGCCCAAACCTCTCACAGCCACACTGGAGGATGGGGATGCTGCCCGCTTACATTGAGAGCCCACAGCTTTGCAACACCCCATGAACACCAATAGGAGCACGTGCCAACCTCAAACAACAAGCGAGACTTCAAAAAGGACATCACTCATCCAACATTTGATGCCGGGGAACAAGATGCTTAGAAGACAGTGCTTGCTTCTGAGTCCCTTTATGTCTGTTGTTTTGTGCCTCTGTGAAGCAATTGACAAAAAATGTGATGACCCATATGAAGGTTTTCACAGGATCATGTTGAGAGAGAGAGAGAGAGAGAGAGAGAGTGAGTGAGTGTGTCTTTGCCATGACATCCAGCGAAGTAGCAAGAGGCGTGGTCGCGGTGCCTCCTGCAGGCATCTCCACGCTCGGCCATCGCCAAATCGCGACTCTTCTGCGCCAATGTGGTGATTCCAAGTCCCTCCCGCGAGGGAAGCTCTTGCACCGCCGCCTGGCCGCCACCCTCGACCTACGCCACCACCCCTTGTTCAGCAATCTCCTCATCCTCATGTATGGCAAGTGCTCCAGCCTCCCGGACGCATGGTCCGTCTTCCACGATCTTGTCCACAAGAACGCCTTCTCCTGGAACATCATGATCTCGGCGCTCTGCGCAAACGGCGAGAGCGCGCGAGCGATTCATCTCTTCCTCGCCCTCGCCAGCGATTCAGTCGTCCGCCCCACCCACGTCTCGTTCGTCGCCGCGCTCGCCGCCTGCGCCAATTGCCGCGATCTCCAGTCGGGCATCCGGATCCACGCCCAGATCGTCGCCGCGCCACCCGCGATCGCGAGCAATCCAGTCGTGTGCTGCGCCCTCGTAACCATGTATGGGAAATGCGGCAGCCTGGCCGACGCGCGGAAGGTCTTCGATGACATGCCGCGCAAGACGATAGTCGCCTGGAGCGCGATGCTGGCTGCTTGCACCAGAAATCCCGATCAGGGCGGGCTCCCCGCTGCGATCGAGCTCTATCGCCAGCTCCGGGATGCCGGCATTGGCGCGGACGAGTACGTTTTCATCAGCGTTCTTGATGCCGCCGCCAAGCTGGGATCCTTGAAGGAGGGCAAAGTGATCCACGGGCACATTCTCGAATCGGGACTGGACGCGCATCCGGATGTCGCTGCTGCGATCGTCAACATGTACGGGAAGCTTGGCCGCTTGGATCTGGCAATGGAAGTGTTTGATAGGATGGAGGAGAAAAAGTTGGCTGCCTGGAACACTGCGATTGCCGCAAATGCCCATAATGGGCAGTTTGGAGCTGCGATTGCTCTGCTGTGGAAGTTGGATCTGGAAGGGATCAGGCCGGATATGGTGACGCTGATTGAGATCCTGGCAGTGTGTTCTTGGAAGCAGGATATAGCACAGGGTATAAAGATCCACGAGCGTATTTGCTCGTGTGGCTGGGAGCGTAATGTTGTCGCTGGAACCTCTATCGTCAACATGTATGGAAAGTGTGGCAGAATCAAGGAAGCAAAGCGTGTTTTTAATCAAATGCACGTACGCGATGTTGTGACTTGGAACGCTATGATCTCCGCGCTTGCCCACACCGGGCATTGCAGAGAGGCCATCGATCTCTACAAGAAGATGGACATTCAAAGAAATTCGAGCAGTTTCATGAGCGCCCTCGGTGCTTGTGCATTGCTAGGATCCCTGCAAGACGGCAAACAAATCCATGCCGAGATCATTGCGAGATTTGCCAGCTTGTCTCATCGATTTCTCGAGACTGGAGTGAGTAATGCGATGATCAACATGTATGCAAAATGCCAGCAAGCAGTCGAAGCAAAGAAAGTTTTTGATTCATTAAAATTTAGAAATGTGATCACTTGGAACGCTACTATTGCAGCATTTGCCCAAAACGGGTATTTCACAGAAGCCCTTGACTTGTACGATTGTATGGTTAAGAAAGACTCGTCCGTGCGTCCAGACAATGTGACATACGTGAACGCTCTCCACGCTTGCGCGGGACTGGGATGGATCGTCCAGGGCAGGGATCTCCACTCGCGAATCGCCGCGAGCGAGTGGAGCAGCGACGCAGTGGTGATGAACAGCGTGATGAGCATGTTTGTGCGGTGCGGCAGCCCAGGCGAGGCCAAGCGCGTCTTCCAGGGCTTGAAGAACCGCTCCGCAGTGTCCTGGACGATCGCGATCGCTGCCACTGCGCAGCAAGGGAGCAGCAACGAGGCCGTGGAGCTGTTCTTGGGAATGATCCAAGAAGGCCTGGCCCCGGATTCCTACGCATTCGCAGGGATTCTCTTCGCATGCAGCCATGGAGGGCTTCTCGACACCGGATGGAGCTGCTTCACGTCGATGCGGCAGGATTTTGGCGTGGATCCGGGAGCCGAGCACTACGGCTGCCTGATAGATCTTCTGGGTCGCGCGGGGCGATCGAATCAAGCCAAAGACCTCCTCCTCGCCATGCCCTTCTCTCCGGATGATATTTCTTGGACGGCTTCCGTGTCTATTAGGTGATCACTGTGGCGCGGCTCGAGATTCAAGAATGGCGGCAGTGGCGTCTAGGATCGCTGGAGTGAAGGGACTGGCGGATGCTGGGATCGCCATGGTGCCCGGTGAGTACCGCAGGGATTCAGATCCACGGCAGTGCGTGGAGATCGAAGAAATTCCTGTGATCGATCTGTCCGATGTGGAGAAGTGCTCCCCTGCTCGGATATTGGCGATTGACTCCATCCGGAGCGCGTCTAGAGACTGGGGCTTCTTCCAGGTACACGAGATCGCTCACCATTGATTGAAATTCCACTTTGTTCTTCCAGATTGTCGGCCATGGTTTTCCAGAAGAACTCATGGCGAGCATGATGGAGCTCGTCCACGACTTCTTCCGCCTTCCCATCGAGGATAGGTCCGTGTACTACTCCGAGGATAGCTCCTCAAAGTTTCGGATGGGGACGAGTTTCATCCCGTCCAAGGAGACGCGACGAATGTGGCAAGACTTTCTCCACCAGGCGTGCTATCCTCCCTGCGAGATCGCCCAGCTCCCGACTAAGCCTCCATCCTACGTGAAGATCTCGACCGCTTACGCAGAAGCCATGAACCGGTTGTCGAAAAGAGTGCTTGGATTGTTCTCGGAGTCACTGGGACTGGAAAGTGGTGCTCTGGAGGAAGCTTTTGGAGGGGAGAGGCATACGATGAGGATGAACTACTATCCACCTTGTCCGGAGCCGGAGCTTACAATCGGACTGGACGCTCACGCGGATCCAAACGGTTTCACTATACTCCAGCAGGACACCAGGGTGAAAGATGGCCTCCAGATTCTACACTGTGGAGCGTGGGTGCCGATCAAACCTCTGCCTGGCGCCTTTGTTGTCAACATTGGAGATCAACTTCAGGTAAGCTTCCCTTTGATCGTCATCGTCGTGCATGCATGAGATTTGCAGGTTTTGATTTTGTGTTATTCATCAGATTCTTTCCAATGACGTGTACAAGAGCGTGGAGCACCGAGTAGTTGTCAACTCGGAGCGAACTCGAGTCTCCATTGCTTCGTTCTATGGGCCAGCGGAAGATAGCCATATTGCTCCGATGGCGCAGCTGGTCACTGACGACGCGCCTGCTTGCTTCAAAGAAAGCGCCTATGGAAAATACCTTCAATCTTTCTACGCTTCAAAACTAGATGGCAAAGCAGCCATTAAGACTGTGAGGTATTAAGCTTTGTCTCTTTTCAATCTTGAAGTTGGAGGTGGTGCATCTCGCTTAAGTTATGGTCGTCCCACTCATTTCCATCCCTCCCTTAGAATGGGGTTGCTCTCAATCTTGATTTGATCTAACATATATCAAGCTGAAACTTGGTGATGTGCTGGAAAGAAAGAAAGTGTAGAAGACTTTGCATGTAGTGAAACAAATCAAGGAGTTCTTCCCGATGTTTTCTTTCCTTGCGGCACATCAATAA